AAAGTCTGTTGTTGGTTACTTTAGAGTAGCTTCCCGCTCATAGTAACCGTATATATAACAAAACAAATGTTGCTTAGTCTTGAGCCATCTTCATTAACATAGGTATGTTTAAATTCTTTGTTGTATGCTCTGTTTATTTTGCGTGACTTCCAAACAATCAAGGCTGCTTATCTTCCAGCACTATATTTAAAAATATTCTATTATGATCCATAAGATTTTTACTGGCTAATGTTTAGAAGTAGGTCACTAGAACTTTCTTCCCAGTTAATCTTAGTCTGTAAACTCTGCTGAAACCTATCCACTATGTTACCTGCTGATATTTATAATACTAATGGCATAGTTTCCAGAATCATTGCAACATGCAAGCCACCACAATGCTGCAACAAATTGGCCTTTCATTTCTAGGTGTGGATGAAGCTACCATCATTGATATTTTAACTAAGAGGAACAATGCACAACGCCAACAAATCAAAGCAGCTTACCTCCAGGAAAAAGGAAAGGTAAAATAGATATTTCATTTGAACAATATTCATGCTTAAACATAAGACCTAACACACAGTTACCTGGTCTTTGAGCTTCTGCACACTGTTTTTGTGCTATACCTATGACCAGGGTGTTGCAACTGAATCAGTCCTAGCAAGCTTATTATTAATACACTTGTCGTCTTTGTGTGAATTCTTTGATCATTTGGTATTCTGTATCAGAGACAAGTCTTTAATTTGAATATAACAAACGTCAAGGTTAGTTGACAATAAGTATTATGTTCTGATTGAAATGTGTCTTCTGTTACCAAACTAAACTACTTAATTCCTAATGTGAAATGCAGAATAGAGTTCTACTTTCAATATATACTTTATATCTTTTACACTTATATGTGGGTAATTGTTTCTTTAAAAGTACAGTGAAAGACTCTGTAATGTCAATCCCTAATTATATTGCTTATTTGTGCCAGGCAAATATGAAATATTGGGAAATTATTAATCCATAATTTTAAAAGTGTGTGTACAACTGCTTTCATCTGTAAGAGTACATGACCTCCTTTACTTTTGGCTTTGTGGGTTTGCCCCTGTATAAAAGATTGAGAATCCTATCCTAGAAGAAGTCACTGATGCATTTATTAAATTCCATTTTAATCCTTCTAGATCTAAAAGGTTAAAATAGAATTCCTAAATGCTGGATAAGAGTTTTGTATGTAAAGTAAAGGGGCTCTAAAAGACAGTTGGGTTTAGGGCTTCAGCTGTAAGATTACCTTGCATAACTTAGCATATTACGAATTAGAAGTCCCAATTTTAATTTATTTTTTTTAATAGCCCCTGGATGAAGCTCTGAAGAAAGCCCTCACAGGCAACCTTGAAGTAGTTGCTTTGGCTTTATTGAAGACTCCAGCCCAGTTTGATGCTGATGAGCTCCGCGGAGCCATGAAGGTAAACCACCTGATGGAAACAAGAGTTCTTTCCTCCAGACAATGTACAGTTCAAGTCTAGTTGCATCTGTTGTTGTAGCCTCAACATATAGCACCTGTCAATCAGCATACGTTTAATAAGTGAGTGAGTGATCAGATAAATAGATGTTGGCACTAAAGACTGTGTTGCTGCTCACCTTCTGGTTCTGTTATTATATGAGGCATATATCTGCACTTTTTATGTCTTCACCTAAAGTGTGGTCTATAAATGAGTTTGCATTTATAGCAATAGAATAAAGTTGATTGTAATTATTAAACACCCTGGTTAACATGATCAAATATCAGACTAAAGATTAATTTGGAGACACATAAACTAGGTCCTTAAATGAAGATCTCCGTACATTTTTTATTTTCTTCTTTGTCAACTCAGGGCCTTGGTACTGATGAGGACACTTTGACTGAAATTCTGGTATCAAGAACTAACAAAGAAATCAGAGAAATTAACAGAGTGTACCAAGAAGGTAAGTTGTAATGTCTAACAATCTGAGTCACTTAGTTGAAGAGGAAATATCATATTCTTAAAATTAAATGTGGATGCTAATTAGAGGAGTTTGGAAACTTTACATACTGATGTGTTTATTCGTTGTTTGTTGTTGTTGTTGTTTGGTGTTGTCAGTTGGTTCTGACTTATAGTGACCCTGTATAGGGTTTCCAAGGAATGGTGGGTGGGTTTGAACTGCCAACTTTGCGATTATCAGCCTGATTCGTAACTACTATACTACTAGAGCTCCTTCCACGTATATATATTAGTTATATATATATATACATATACATGTATATATTAACTATGTAATTTATTCTTGTTATTAAATAAAGCTAGCTTTGTGACAATAAGACTTCTCTCACAATATTGTCTAAATTACTGCCATTGATCTTGTTATTGTTAATTACCATTGAATGGATTATCATTTACAATGATGCCCAGTGTGCACAATAGAACGATGGTCCAAAGGAATTTCAAGACTGTGACCTTGCAAAAGTAGAATACCCCGTCTGTCTTCTGACACACTCCGGATGGATTTGAACTGCCAGTCTTTAGGTAGTTGTAGAACACTTAACCGTTGGTGGTACACAGGGGACTTTTTCTATTATCTTACAGGAAATAAGATAATGATCCAAAATTTCACCTACTCTGATTTCTGTTATAAAAAGTAACGATAATATTTTGAAATGTGTTCTGTAAATCATTGAACATTGTGGCACTATAGGTTCTAAGCCAATATAGTGCTATCCTACCAGACAATATCATCATCACCTGTCATTAGTTTATTACAAAATATATTTTTGTATTTTTAGAATTGAAGAGAGATCTGGCTAAAGACATCACCTCAGACACATCTGGAGATTATCGGAATGCTTTGCTTTCTCTTGCTAAGGTATAATTCAAATGCTTTTATGAAATGTCTTTCTTTTTCAATGAAGAATAAAATCTTAGATTTGAGTTCTCTTGAGAAATGAGTAATGTAGGTTTGTTTCCTAAGGAATATTATTGCTCTGATTTTAGGAAAATTAAGCAAATCATGTGATTCCATGCTAGAAATCATGACATGAATGGGTTTTTTGTTTTTGTTTTGTTTTTTAGGGTGACCGATCTGAGAATTTTAGTGTGAATGAAGACTTGGCTGACACAGATGCCAGAGTAAGCAAGTGTTTACAGAATGCTGCTGGAGGAATTTTCATTCCTTGGGGGGGACTACTATGTGATGCTCTCTATATCATTGTAAATCTAGGATCATCCAAAGACAAATTGCTTCTTAAAGATATACTGAGTTATAGACACTTTCCTGTATTTGGACAGCCTAGAGAAAAAGAAGAAAATTTCAGTAGATCCTGCTGTTCATAAAGCCAGAAGGATTGAAGGGGAACAATGAGAGTTTGATTTGTCATACCCAATGATCAATTTTTTGAGAAAACTCTGAACTTTCACTTGGCATGAAAAAAGAAAGAAAAAAGTAATTTTTAAAAATTAAGCAAAGTGAAAACAAATCTAGTGATTTTGTAAGAGCAGCCATTGCAAGTGTTAATGATATTAAAATAAATTAGTTATAATGGATTTATATACTTCAAAAATATGTTTGCATATAATTTCAGCTAGTGAGGCTTCTGGTTGTTTATACACCAATTTGTTGGCAACATTTGAAAATTTGGCCGCTTTAGGGCCTGAAATTTCTGTTTTTAAAACAAGCAAGTTACTATTTACATAGGCCTTCCTCATGGAATAGTCTTCTCTATATTAGTTCTCCACTCCCCACACCTTTACTGTACCAGTCCATGATCTTGCATATAGTAGGCATTTATTAACTGTTTGCTGAATAAGTGCATACATGTCAGATTGATTTGCTTTAAAATTCCAAAATAAGTTCTTATATCTGTGGAAAGATTAATCATTTTAGTTGAGATTGTGTAAACCCATGAAAAGAAAAAAAGTCAACAGAAGTTGAATACTTGGGTATAATAAAAAAAAAAAAAATTCTTATTTACTTGTGGCATTTCTAAATTTGCTTTCCATTTTAAGACTATCAGGACTTCTGTACTAGTGTGACTAAGGAAGATGATACTAATTAACATTTTAAAGTTAACAACATGTCTGTAATAATAGCACAGGGATTACCCTTTTCATTTACAAAAGAGAGTCTCTAAAGGTTAGTATGGTTAAATTTTTAAGATGACATGGTTAATTAGTTTGCAGAATCACATTCCTTTCAGAATTTCTCATTTTGAAATTCAAGATCTAGGTTACTATTGCATTATTGATGTGTTAGTTCCATTTGCTCACAACCACTTTAAACAATATAGCATAAAAATATACATATACTTTCTTTATAGAGACCCTTGGAGTTGCCTTGATATAGAGCATAATCTTGTTGTTGTTGTTGTTAAGTGCCGTCGAGTCGGTCCCGACCCATAACGACCCTGTACAGGGTTTCCGAGGGTGTAAATCCTTACGGGAGTAGAAAGCCTCATCTTTCTACCGCGGAGCGGCTGGTAGTTTCGAACCGCTGACCTTAAGGTTCGCAGCCCAATTCGTAACCACTACGCTACCAGAGCTCAGAGCATGATCTTAGAGAAATTTAATTCCTCAGACATCTGTTTAGGCTCTAGTGTTTGCAAAGTACTGTAAAAGATACTGTAGAAGATATTTGACAAGCAAAATATGGTCCTTACATTATAAAAATTTGCAACCTTAATTTTGCCTACTCTGATTGTTTGGAACACAAAGAAGCTATTTAGAAAATCTTTGAAAGGGACTTAACGTCCCTTCACTATTTCAGCAAATATCAAGTGTACATTTTTGTGATCCTTGTCAGGCCTTATACGAAGCAGGAGAAAAAAGAAAGGGGACAGATGTGAATGTATTCAATACCATTCTGACCACAAGAAGTTATCCTCATCTTCGTAGAGGTAAGTAGGAAAAAGAAAAAAAATTGACATCTGGAACTTGCTTATAGAAGATGAAATTTTCTTTTGTGACGATAAATAAGGATCATGAAAGAGAGAAATCTAAATTAGTGTCACACCTATAATAAATGGACATGGTACCCTAGATCCATCATTGCTATTGGCCCATACGTCTAACCTTATACAGGTATCATTTTAATAGCATTGGAAATGTATTTTTGTGACTTTGGTATGTGGAGCATCAGTTTATTATTTTCATTCTTCTGTTTCATCCATAAGTTTTGGAACTGTTGTTGTTGTCAGGTGCCAATGAGTCAGTTCAGGCTCATTGTGACCCTATACTGGGTTTCCGAGGAGCAGCTGGTGGGTTTGAACTGCTGACTTTGTGGTTCCAACTGACCTTGTAGTCCAGTGCTTTATCCTACAGCACCATATCAGAACTCCAAGTTTTGGAATAGATGTGGCAAAAGACACACATACAACAGAACAGATGATACTGAAATTTTTTTTTAAGTGAAGAAAATTGTAGATGCATTAGAAAACAAAAACAGAAAAAAAAAAAGAAAAGTTCGTATCTTTGGGTACATAATTTGACTTTGATTCTCCTGGAAGCCAAGACAAAGAGATAATCATGATTATTAAATGAAGTTCAGTATCTTCTCGTAACAAACTGATCTGTAAATTTAATAGACATTTACTACACAGATCTTTATGTAAGGGAGTAAGGGAAGATCTATTTGCCATGGCACTTAGCTCTACTGTAGTAAATGTTATGATTGTCAATCACATGGCATTTTAAATAATCTTCAACTCTTGAAAAAATTTCCCAAAACAAACAGGAAATGCAAAATTACTCTGTGAGTTTGTTTACTACAGTCCTAGGAGAAGATGAAGCACCTATACTTTATTCAGTTGAATAAACAGTTTTTAAAAGTATGCCTTGAAGTTCACTTATCCCGAAGACATTTTTTAGTCAATTGTTTGAATGTTGTTAAAGTTTGCTAAAGCATAGGATGTTTTGCACATTTTTTAGTTTATATTTAATATTCAGTGTTCCAGAAATACACCAAATACAGTCAGCATGACATGAACAAAGTTCTGGACCTGGAGCTGAAAGGTGACATCGAGAAGTGCCTCACAGCTATTGGTATGTAATCCTGGAGCTGTCAGATTATTATAATTTATAATTGCATTTTCAATGATGTCCCCCATATTAGTTAAAAAAAAAAAAAAAAAGAACAACCGCCTTCGAAATACTCAGATATACTACATCTATGTTGTAGATGAAGACAGAATGTAAAATTATGGTAAAGAATATTTAGCTAAAGGTGTAGTGGAGGTGATGGTTATGTGCTAGGGAATCAGTTCCAACTCATAGAGACTCTGTATAGGTTTTCTGAGGCTGTACAGGGTTTCATGGGAGCAGAAAGCCATATCATTCTCCCATGGAGCAATTGGTAGATTCGAACCGCTGAACTTGCAGCTCATTAAAGGTATTTGTTGTTGTTATGTGCTGTGGAGTCGTATATGAGGACCTTAATAATAACAGGTATTACTCTCTTTGGAGAGGTGGAAAGTATTTATTGAGCATTTACTGTCCTAAGCACAGAACTAGCCTGGGCACACACAGGAGACATTCAGAGCATGGCATTTGGAATTAGGCAAAGCCTGGTACTGCCATTTGCGAATTGTTTGATCTTGGGGAAATTCAGTAGAGTCTGTCTCAGTAGGTTTGTGGTGGCTTCTGAAAATCTGTTCTTTTAAAGTTCTCCCATGTGTCCAGTTGGCTACTCCAGATTGGAAACTGTGTTGTAAAGTATTGCTTCTCAAATATTCTAGCTGATATTCAGATTCCGATTCAGTAGGTCTGGGGTTAGGCCTGGTAGTAAACATTTCTGCTCACACATTTTCAATACCAAAGACAAATACCTTGAGGGCTTGATAAATCCATTAGTAGTTTATTTGGTAGCCAATTTATATTTAAAGCTTGTCCTATCCTAGGGCATTATTTTTATCACAACACTAAGAAAGCACTTGTTTGTATGCAAACATGCCTTTGTCTACTCGTTTCTCTGTCTCCAAGGAGAACACACTCAGAACAGCAGCAGCTATAGAAGTTGCTGTTGGGGGTGGATTAAAATACTGGAAGTGGGTGATGGTTATCAAAGGAAAGGAGATCCAAAACCACCATCTAGGGAGTAACAAGTATCTTCTTGTAAATCTCTGTGGTTTATTAGGGGTGGGAGTGTTAGGAATAGGAATGATAAATGAAATCTTGAAAATAAAACTTTATTCCCTGTTTGTTTTTTTTTCACATGCATGTTTCATTTTTGTGTGCGTTAAATGTATCAACGAAAGTTTATCTCTCTTACAGCGAAGTGCGCCACAAGCAAACCAGCTTTCTTTGCTGAGAAGCTCCATCAGGCCATGAAGGTATCATTCTACTTAAATGACTTTCTTTTTGTTAAGTGCTGTGTGTCAAATCAATTCCAAGTCATAACGACTGTGGGTACTCGGAAGGAAATACTGTCCGCACCTGCGCCCTTCTCGCCATCTCTCCTGTTTCAACTGTTATTGTAGTCACTGTGCCATTCCATCTTGTTGAGCATCTTGCTCTTTTTCATTGACCTTCTACTTTACTAAGTATGATGCCCTTCTCCTAGGACCAATCCCCTAGATAATATGGCCAAAGTATGTGTGATGAAGTCTCCCCGTTCTCATTTTTAAGGAGCATTCTGGCTATATTTCTGCCAAGACAGATTTATTTGGTCTGCTGGCAGCCCATGTGTATGTTACCAATGCCATGTGTGACTTGCTTAAGGGGGAAAAATATGACTGCCGATTGATCAGAAAATCTTGTATTTGAACTATCATTCACATTATAGTGTCTTCCCATTTTAACTAATTAGGAATAATCAGAATAAAACCCCATTCAATTTCTTATTTTTTCTTAATAGGTAAGATTGTAAAATGAACTTGTGATTTGTGGCTTACTCATAGTAGTTCCGAATTGGGCTGCGAACCGTAAAGTCAGCAGTTCGAAACTATCAGCTGTTCTGCGGGAGAAAGATGAGGCTTTCTGCTCCCGTAAAGATTTACAGCCTCGGAAACCCTGTACAGGGTCGCTATGGGTCGGAACTGACTCCACGGCACATAACAACAACAACATAATTTGCTTAAACCTGAGTCTGCACAGGAAGGGTGATAATGGTGGTGGTGCTGTGCTGTGAAGTTGGTTCTGACTCATAGCGACCCAGTATAGGGTTTCTAAGGCTATAAATCTTTACAGGAGCAGAAAGCCTCGTGTTTCTCCAGCAGAATGGCTGGTAGCTTTGAACTGCTGACCTTGAGGTTAGCAGCCCAACTTGTAACCACTATGCTACCAGAGCTCCTTGGAAGGGTGATAAGCTTCCCTTTTTAATGTGTGATTTCAGTAGTCTATTTCTGCTCAGGTGGTGAGTTTTACAAGCTTCCCCTTTCTAAATTATAATTGTCTTCTTTATTATTATTATTACTCTGTCTTCCATGCCACAGATTAATAGTTTCATTTTCTTCAACATTATTCTATGATTATTTAAGTTGTTGCTGTTAAATATTCTGACTCTTAGTAACCTGTATAGGGTGTCTGAGGAGCAACTGGTGGGTTTCAACTGCTGCCCTTACAGTTGGCAGTCCAGTGCTTATTCTACAGTGCCACATCAGGACTCCATGATCACTTAAGTAGAAAATACTATTAACATGTACTTGAGATGCCACTTCAACCATTTCACTTTTGCTTATTCTCTAACATGCATGGTATTTTTGAGCTCCCAAATGAAGTTATCACTATGTTTCCTTTGCAATTCCAAAATAAGGAAGTCTTCAGAGAAGACTCCATAGCAGTGGGCTTTGAGTTTACAGATATCTAATCATTTAATTAATATTAAGACATCTGTATGAAATGATAGACATTTATAGGTTACATAGAAGGTAGCACTATCAACAATCATGGAAGCAGCAATCAAGAAATCAAAAGACATATTGCATTAGGTAAATCGGCTGCACAAGACCTCTTAAAGTGTTCAAGAGCAAAGATGTCAGTTTGAGGACTAAAGTGTGCCTGACCCAGATCATGGTATTTTCAATGATCTCATATGCAAGTGAAATTTGGACAATGAACAAGGAAGGCCACAGAAGAAATAGTGCATTTGAGTTATAATGTTGGAGGAGAATATCAATGGTACTATGGGCTGCCAAAAGAACAAACCAATCTGTGTTGGAAGAAATACAGTCAGAATGCTCTTTAGCAGTCAGGATGATGAGACTTCATCTATCATACTTCAGACATATTGTCAGGAGGGACCAGTTCCTGGAGAAGGACATCAGGCTTAGTTAAGTGGAGGGTCAGAGACAAAAAGGAAAAAGAGGAAGACCTTCAATGAGATGGCTTGGCACAGTGGCAGCAGCAATGGGCTTACAAGGTTGACAACAACAACAAGAAAGTAGCAGTCTTCCCTGTGTCTGCTTTTGTCTAGTGAGGTATTAAGATTGGTAATGATGAATACTTAGTAATACTGGAGAGGAAAAGAAGATCATCCACTTCAGACTGGAAATCAATGCAATTATTTCTTTCACATAAATGATGACCTAATGGTTGAGTAGGAGATAACCAGGTGAAGGCAAGAGTGGAAGAGATGAGGAGATAAAGAAAAGATGAACTCCATACACTAAAGCTCACAAGCAAAGCATAGCATGATGCTTTCAAGAATATAAATAGAGTGATTATGCCCAGTGGGAAAAGTTTTAGAATTAGGAAGAGCATTTTAAGCTTGACAAAATGAATGGTTTCCATTCTAAGAGCAGTAGAGGACCAATGAAGAATTTTAAATAGGTGAATTCCATGATTAGATTTGAAATTTAGAACATTCACCTTATTTGTAATTCTCTAATAGTTTAGAGACTAATGAGGGATTTGTAAAAGCTTTGTTAATACTGCTAATACTGTATTTTATTTCTTGTCATTTCATTATCACTCATGTAAAGTGCATAAGTGTGTGTGTATTTATTTGTGTGTGTGTGTGCATGAGCAGGGGCATGCATTTTAATGAGGAGATAATTTCTCCCTGGAAACCATATGGTGAGCAAGAAGGCTTTGCTTTAAAATACATATCCTGCTTTAGTAAGAATATGTTTTGCATGTGAGAGGTATAACATTATTTGTTTTAAACAGGGTGCTGGAACCCGCGATAAGACATTGATCAGGATTATGGTTTCCCGTTCTGAAATTGACATGAATGATATCAAAGTATTCTATCAGAAGATGTATGGTATCTCTCTTTGCCAGGCCATCTTGGTATGTTGTAATGTTTTTAATGCTACCCCACAAATGACAGTTCTTTTTGTGACTTATTCCAAGAGAAGAACTGATTTATTATATGTGTAACTTTCATATGCAAGATTAATGCATTAAATTAGGATGCATAATTCACAAGTAAATTTAACTGTCACTAGTGAAATATTCTTGTGAGTTTGGGCTGAAAAAATTAAACACATTGTTCCACCAAAGTCATGGAAATAATTACTATCCCATGCATAAATTTATCAACCACATATTTTAGAAATTTTGTTTGTGTAAATCTGGTTTCTGAGTCATAATGATCCTGTAATGTTTCTGAGAGGTGGCTGGTGGGTTTGAACCACCAACCGTTCAAGTTAGCAAAGCAGTGCTTACAATGTAAATAGATATCATGATTTATTTTGCAAAGAATATTGGTGATGGGATTAGAAATTAATTATTCTAAATATTGTTCCTCTATTTTGTCATCTGTAAAATATATAAAACACACATTCAAGTTATCTCATTACAATGTTAAAAAGTTAGAATAAAAGCCTAAGATTTTGAACACAGGTCCAATTGATTGGACAAGTATAATCTAGTAAGAAAAAGTAAGAAAATCACAGACTTAAAACTTTCTCTCCTTTTGGTGAGTGAGTCTCGTATTTCCTCACATACAATATGACATTAGACTGTATTGTTGTTGTTATGTGCCGTGGAGTCAATTCCGACTCAGCAATGCTACATAGGGTTTCCGAGAGCAGAAAGCCTCATCTTTCTCCTGAGGAACACCTGGTAGTTTCAAACTGCTGACCGTGAGATTAGCAGCCCGATTCATAAACACTATGCTACTAGAGCTCTTTTAGACTTTACTACTCTTCTTCAATTCTGTGTGATATTGCATTTCATTCTTAGAAAATAGTAGCTCTAATATAATTGTACTCCATTCAGAGCAATTTATAATAGGGACCTTGAAAGCTCTGATTTCCATACAGTAACCAACTAACAAATATCAGCTAACTTTTATGTATAATAGTTAATTAAATGATATTTTATCAATGTTTCTTGATAATTGATAATACTGTGAAATATGATCTATAAGGTTAAGCCTACTAATCATATAATTACTCAATTAAAATTATCTTCTATGTATTATGGTTTTAGACAGTAATAAATGTACTGTGTTTTTGAATCAACAGGATGAAACCAAGGGAGATTATGAGAAAATCCTGGTGGCTCTCTGTGGAGGAAACTAATCATTCCTTTGATGTGCTCAACCAGAAGACTTTTTAATACAATCTTTTCATTCTCTATAATAAGTTTAACTAGAAAAGTTTCTTCAGCAGGATTACAGTCTAGCTTCCTGTCTTCTTAAAAAAACACACACTATAAACTATAGAGCATTTTTATACCAAAACTCTGTATAATAGAGCTAAGATTTTTTAAAAATATGTTTTTCTCAAAACTATAAAGCCCTGTAAACAAACTATTCAGTAATGTTGCCTGAAAAAGATGTTTATAGCTGAAAATAAAATTAATTTAAAGGACACTTCTTGTGTAATTGACTGTTCATTTCTTTCTTTTTTTATTTTAAATGTGCTTTACATTGATGTCAAGGGCCAAGAGCCTGAATCCTAAATTGTACTATTTAATAAAATAAATTTCACATGCTAAATTACACAAAATATTCACAGAATTGTATGGTGGTGGTGGTTACATGCCTTGGAGTCAATTCCCACTCATAGCGACCCTGGATAGGGTTTCCGAAGCTGCAAATCTTTATGGGAACAGAAAGCCTCGTCTTTCTCCCATGGAACCACTGGTAGTTTTGAACTGCTGACCATGAGATTAGCAGCACAACTCAAAACCACTATGCTACCAGAGCTCCTTACAGAATGATCTAGATAATGGATTCAAATTAGACAATGGGCCCTGATATTACCATCTGGGTACAGAATATATAAGGATGGCTCTTTCTAATCTTGAATTTATTACACTGGCATTGTAACTTTGGACATCTTGCTCGTGTCATGAATCCGAAGATGAAATAGTAATACCAATAAGAATTCTCACTTTTTAAAAATGATAATTGCATATTAAGTTTTTTCTAAGAATTTTTTTTCCCAGAGTTCCTGTGCCATTTTACTTTAGCACCAGTAATGTATGAGTGACCCAATTCCTCCACATCTTCATCAGCATTTGGTGTTGCTATTTTTCATTTATTTTAACATTGTTTATTGTTTTAATTGTTGAGTTTTGAGTGTTCTTTTATACATTCTAAATACTAAATAGTTGCTTGTTGGATACTTGGTTTACAAATAGCTTCTCTCAGGCTGTAGTTTTTCTTTTCATTCTCTTAAAAAGTTCTTTTGCAGAACTAATTTTAATGAGGTCCAACTTACCTTTTTCTTTTCTTTTCATATTTAGACTATTGATGTCTCTGTACTAACTCTTTGATCCCAAACTCTTAAGTCTGGAACATTTTCTTCCATTTTATTTTCTATAATTTTCATAGTTAGTAAAATTAGTTTTTATAAGTGTTTTATAGTCTGTTTTTCATTTAAATTTATGATCCATTTGAGCTAATTTTATGTAAACTGTGAGACTTCAATGAGATTGATTTATTTACTTATTTATGCTATGTATATCTAGTTGCTCTTGCATCAATTATTGAAAAGACTAGGTTCCTCCAGTTAATTACTTTTGTACTTTTATAAAAAATCATTTGGGTCTTAATTTAGTTTTAAATATTTATAGTGAAGCAAAATATGAAACCTTTCCATTTCCTGTGGTCTAGGAATAGGAGTCCTGGAATAGTGCTGTATAATAAGCACTGGACTGCAAGGTCGGTTTGAACCGCAAGGTCAGTGGTTCAAACTCA